TTTTTAGAGAGATGGAAGAGCTTCTCTCTCTTCATCTCCTCAACTCCTTAAAAGGTACTACTATTAAATATGAAAAAGTCAAATAATTATCTCCATCAAATATGGGGTAAGACGACGAAAGGACCACATGCAAATGCCGACCCTCGAACCAAACTTAGAATTAATCACCTTCAGAGAAGCAATACAATTCATTGATCCTTGTCTGGGCGCAAATAAGACAAAGACGGTTAATGTAGACCTCCCATCACCCAAATCCAAAACCACAATCGTAGAGCAATAGAAATACCAAAAGGTAACGCAAACAATATGATTAACAAAATTAAAAAGCAAAAATACTAGAAAATTAAAATCTTGCTCCGTCTTCTAGAGCACCACCACCATCCACGTTCCTGACCATCCGATCTATTTCAGATGTTCCGGCGGGCCTAAGGATCGGAACCTGTCGCCTTCCCGTTTTTTGGTTTGTCAAGAGCCATGTTATCACCAATTGGGTCCTCCTGTTTCTGAATCTCCCATATTCTCCTGCGCTTCTGTTCCCCTGACATTTCCTCGGTGCTCCCTAAATCTCCTATAGTCGTGCTATTGCCTGCTCCCTAATCCTCATGCGTCTACACCGCCCGAGATATCATCATTTTGCTGCATCGCCATACCTATACTAGAGGAGCCTTCAACTAGCCACTTGTTCCCCCTGTAGGACTACTCCCCCCCTCCACCAGCTCTAAGATCCACCCCATAAGATTTTTCCAGTACCATATTATCCTCATATGTCAGTGGAAAGAACTTATCAGAATAGCCAATGACTCCACAAATAAAGAAAAGGTTGGGTAGCTTTTCATACTTAAAATCTACCCAATGGCCAATCCCTCCTTTCTTGAGGGTTGTTATTTTTTTCGAGAGATTTTTCCAACATCCATACAGACCCTAATACGAATATAAGGGCCTGTTTACTAACAGAGATATTTTCCTGTTTTCTACTTCTGTTTTTCATTCTCCAATTTTCTGTTTTTATTTTTCGGTTTTTCTATCTCTAATTTTCTGTTTCTATTTTTTAGTTTTCCATTTTCAAATCTGAAAACATGTTCATCAATTTTTTCACCCAGTTCTCCAATTCCACACCCTTGACCCCTACCCCTACCCTTACCACGATCTTACACTCTACCCATACTCCCCCACAACCCTTCATACCCACCCATACCTACTCGTAGGGGTCGAGGTAGGGAAGTTATGGGGTAGGGTAGGGTGGGTCGGGGTGGGGTCGAGGTGGTAGGGGGTGGCGGTAGGGTGGATCGGGGTGGGGCCGAGTTAGGGGCATGTGGTAGGGGGTGGGATAGGGTCATTATAGGGAAAAATGGGACGCGGGGTAGGGTGGGTAGGGTAGGGTAGGTAGGGGTAAGGTACGAGGATGGAGGTACCAGAATGGAATCGACACCGGAGCAGGACCGGACCCACCACTAGGTGTAAGTATGCAAATTCATTGCAGCGACACTGTAGCATCTGCGTTTTCCAAATTTGGAAAACTAGTAGAAGTCACTTCTCCAAATCATTAAGGAAAAGAGAGACATGTCTCATTTTTTCGTTTTGGAAAACGATTTGGTAAACACGTTTTTCTTTTTTCCTTTCTCCAGTTTTCCAACAATTTCTTTGGTAAACACGTTTCCTGTTTTCTGTTTTCCAGTTTTCTGGAAAACTGGAAAATATCTCTGTTAGTAAACAGGTCCTAAGCTTCCCACTTTTTGTCAAATTGGTTTTCATCATAGCCAACAAATTTACCAATATAATTATCAACCCTCCTAGCAGTGTCTAAGTTCATAAAACCATAAGGAATATTGTGAATCTGAACCCAGAATTCAGCCTCATTGAGGTTAATTTTGAGCGGAATATCCTCTGACCTGACTTCCTTGACAATCAACAGACTTCTTTCAAACAACCACAAACCGCTCTCTAAAACACTTTTCATATCCACAACATGATATAAAGTGAAAAGATACCTATTGTCGCCTATTTCTCTAATTGACACACCTTTCCCTGATCGCCACAAAGAAGCCATAAGTTCCTTGAATATGTGAAACTTAACCAATCTGTCGGTCAAAAGGGCGCTTACCACTGGAAAGCTCACCTGCCTCTCCTCCGCCTCTCTTTCTCCGAACTTGTCGTCATCGAAGTTCAACTCCTCAATATCCTCTCCAATAGCCATATTTTTGTATCGATTGACAATATTTTCCATTGAACTCCTCCCTGCGGGACCGTGCCGATACCCGCCGCAACGCTCAAGCAACCCTACACCTTCCTTGCTGGATCGAGCCGAGGTCGCCACAGAAGAGTCGTGATCGCCAACCTAAAGCTAAACTCCCTACGATCGATCTGGAACCCGTGTGGCAACAACTCTTCGTCGAAGACGAAAACGGATATATCGGTCACAAATACGTTTAATTTTTTATTGGAACAAGCAATTCCAAAATTATTAGATAATAAGACAAATAACTAGGGTTGGCAACAAGGCGGATTGAGGACAATTTTACATGTAACCGTACCTACCTCGTTTGATAATTCCCCCGCCCCATAACCGCCTCATTACCCAACGTGTAATTTTTATCCAAACCATAACCGTTCCAACGGGTATCGGGTAACCGCGGGTAACCGCGTTATTAAATGAGTCATTAATATTTGAATATAAAATAGTAACCCCCCTTCCCTTGAAGAATGCCCTACTTTCCCAAAATGAAAGTCGTCCCGAAGTTAATATCCTATTTCCTTAACTTTCTTATTTGGTAAATAAAATCTATACCAAACTGTGTCAAACAGTGTAAAGCAGTGTCGCTACAGTGTGAAGTCAAATTCATTTCCTTAATATGTGTGAAGTCAAACTAGAACATTCTTTTGGGGACAGAGTGAGTATTATAAAAGGCGAAAAATAGCATCACTTAGACGACTCTAGACTCATACGTCACTTTAAAGTTTCGTATATCTACAAGACGAAAAAGAGGACAACCTAAATTAATTTGGACCTAAAAATACTAAATCTGATAAATAATTAATCACGGAAAATGTGATAATAATCAAACAAGACTATTAAAATCTATTATGAAGTTCCATTCATACACTATCATCAGTACATCTATGGTCCATATATACACAATGAAAATAGAAATATCTCATCGTTTATTAGTTGTAAGACAAATAATAATAGATAAAAATGTAATACTCCGTACAAAATATAACTAAAAATAAACGGGGCGGGTAATGGGGTGTACATGTATAAAACCGTAACCGTCACATTACCTGTAAAAACAAAATGGGTACTTCCCACCCCGTACCCGTTACCTGGTCACTGCGGTTTCCCCGTTTGGATCAGAACGATTCAGTGCGGGTGTCCATCAGATCGGTCACAATTGTCATCCCTAGTCTTAATAAAAAAAAGACTAAAGAAAGAGAATAGGATAATTGGGGATGGCAATGAGGCGGTTCGGGGTCGGCTATAACATTACCCGTACTCGCCCCGTTATTTGATTTATAATCCCCATACCCGCCCCGTTCCCTGTCGGGTAATTTTTTGTCAGAACAGTACCCGATCGGAACGGGGAACAATTTTACCCGCGGGTAACCACATTATTTAAAAAAATTGTTTTCCTATAATAATATCACTAACAAACAATAACTTAATTATCCATTGACACCTGTTTTTTCCCCAATAAGCACCGAAAATCAAATCAAATCTTATCTAAGTTAAAATATAATTACAAAGTAATCATAACAATTACAGTATTACATGCACACGAAAAAAACAGAGCATCACTTAGTAACTTTTATATTTTTAAATCATTTGCATAGAAAATTACAACAACTACACAAACTAATCAAAACTAAATGAAAGGGAAACTAAACTAGTTTTTTTAACAGAATAGTGAAATTTATTTAAAAATGAAGAAAAGTGAATACAAGAAAGCTTAAAAGAGGAAATAAAGAAAGAGCACATAAAGATAAAAGCCCAACCCTAAGTGCAATTTGCAAACTATTCCTAGACAAAAGACTTCCATAATGCAATCTAAACTTATCTTTTACATGGAAAATTGCATCCACACAAATTAATCTCTTCTCGCACAAGCAATACTTCCTATATTTTACTAATTATATGGTATATACCTAATATATGAAGTATTTACAAAATAAATTAAATATATAATCTGTTAAATTACGTAGTACGATAGTACTACGTATATGAGATGCTATTACATGTTAGGTAATGGTGTGGGTAACTGTACCCGAACTAAATCGGGCGTACGGGGCGGGTAACGGGTCGGGTAAGTATAAAATCATACCCACCCCATTCGCCTTTTACATAAATCGGGTATTCCCTGCCCGGTACACGTTACCCAGTCAGCACCATTTCCTCATTTTGTCCGGTTCAGTTCATTGCGGGTATCCGTCGGTTTACATAAATTTTCGTGTGAAAAATAAAAAATTATAATGATTCATATATATTACTGAAAATTATTTTTGCAAAAAAATCTGTTTGTACCCACCCCATATTTTGCCTGTATACAAAGACAATTCGTTAAGAAAAAGGCAACATTTGTCTCCCAATTGCATGTATACACAGACAATGCACAAAAATGTGTACAAACGTGAGTATACCAACTCTTAATTTCGAGTACTACAAAACGGAGACTACCGAGGCTATACTGGCCTTTAATTTTCAACAATGTTTGTGAAATGTTTTTTTTGTATGTGAACCTGGTTCACTGACAATATTTTGTTTGTGCAAAATATTTTATGTGAATCAGAGTTCAAAGACAAAAAAAACACTTCACAAACATAGGTAAGTACATACAAAAATGGTTATAAGAGTGGGTACAAACATCATTTTTGTTTAATTTTCTAGGAAAAAAAATGAACAAATTCACTTTCCCAAAGAAAAAAAGAATTTAAATTTTGTGGGCCATCACTCCACTCTCCTACCCTACTTCTTAAAAATTTCTCCTTCTCCCGAATTGAAGAACTGCCACACATACAGTTCTCCACTCTCTCCCCTGTCCTTCCGAATTCAAGCTTTTCTCCCACAGTCCGACTGTTCCGACAATTCACTCTCCGGCAAGAACTTATGGTGGTGCCGGAAGTTACCTACTTTCCTTGCGACGGGAAGGCGTCTGCATGAGATGCAAGAGGAAGCCCTCAGCTAAGGAGACCTTGACTTGCCACTCATGCGTCACTCTATGGGCCGCCTGCCTCTCCGTCTTCCCGGAATCAATGCACGACGCTTCCCTGTGGGAATGTCCGGACTATTCTCTGCATTTCACAGAAGATAATGTTAATGCTGTCGTAAAGCCGTCACCGGCGGTGCAGTCTTGGTCGTCGGCCGGCGACCTGATTGCAGGGCTACGACCCATTGAGGCCGATGCGTCACTCACTGTGCAGCTTTCCGACAACAGACCCGTGAAGGTGAGCTTTGCTACACTGTTTTTTTATATCCGGCGCCGTTTGTTAGATCTCAAATGGGATGAATATACAGAAATTTATGAAATTACTATAGTTGAAAGTTGAAACGGCCGGATTGTCTCAAGAAATCTTATGTTTAAATTAAATTTGTGTTATTAAAAAAGGAAAATGGCTTCAAAAAAAAAGATCACTACATTACCTCTCTGAACAATATTTAAGGAAGAAATATCATGGGCAATGAATATGACAGAAAAAAGTACTCCCTCCTTCCTTGAATTTACTTCCGTAGTACAAATGACACACAAATTAAGAAAGTGAGAATTGTGTGGTAGAGAGTTGTGCAGAAGAGAGAGAAATGTGTAAGAATTGCTGTGAACAACAAATTCTTTGCCAAAAAGAGAAAATGAAGTTCTTTTTGGGACTGACGAAAAGGGAAAGTTGGAAGTAAATTCAGGGACGGAGGGAGTAGAAGAGATTGTGAAAAAATAGGAAAGAGAACATAAAAAGTAGAAAAAATAATGGTAATTGTGTAATTTTAAAGAAAAAACTTACCAAAAAAAGAAAAGTTAAACTTTTAAATGAAAGTACAGTAAACTTTTAGATATGAAGAGAGTACTAAAAAGTGTTTTAAATAGTCTTGGACATCAAATTAGTTAATTTCAAATTTACTCATTTTTTAATTACGGAGTATTACATAATCTAGAGATTGAAATAAAAAGAGTGTTGTATTTGCTATGTTAGTTAGCTCAACAAATTGAAGGGGTGAAAATAAATGTTATCAACAAAAGCAATAAAACAAAAGTAAAACAACCCAAATTGAGAAGAAAAAATAGGTAATCTACAAAACGAAATCAACATCTTAGAAAAAAACTTTCCACTTTGCTCCTCCCATGGTTGTTGTCTATAGGAAAAATCAATCCTTCCTCTTCGTTGATCACAAGTTCAAAGTGTTCTTTGTATCGACACATGAGTTGAACAACAATTAGGAGAAATTCTCCAAAATAGTCGATAGTCTATTTGACTAACCATCGAAAAGAAAATGCATTCAAACATCAAAGTTCTCTCAAAATTTGACAGTGGTTTGGGAGGGGTTAGTGCCCAGGAGCATGTAACTGTCTAAATTTTAGAAAAATTGTGTGGACCTATTATTGGATTTCTCCCATTATATTAGAACTACAATGTTAACATTAACGTTGTCATAAAATTGGCTTTGCATTAATTTTAAAACTATGTCCAATATAAGATTTGATGGAATATATTTTTATAGGTTCCAAGGGTTACAATAAGACATGAATAAACTTTCGGAATTGACTAGGACAACATTTCTAGTTGAGTCTAAGCTTGCCCCTCGGGCTGAGGATGAGTTTAAACCTGGTTCTCAAATTGACGAAAGAAGTCCAAAATTGCATCCTAATTGAGCTAGTCTTCAAAGTCGAGCTAAGAGCCGAGCTTCATCAGATTTGAGCTGGGCTTCATATCTGGGCCAAGCAGAGCCGAGCTTGGCACACTACACATATGTTTGTAGTCGGAACTAACAAATTGGCTGTCACCAATCTACACATGTGACTTATCCAGACGTCCTGTTATCAAAGGATGATTAACCGTGCAACGTACAATCAATCAATCAATCAACATTTCTCTCATCAGTAGGCCTTACACGTGCATAGCTCGTTCTAGGGGCGGATCTGCCTTAGGACCAGTGAGGGCCTAGGCCCAACCTCAAAAATAAAAAATTTACTAGTATATATATATATATTATTATGTATATATTGTTGTAGGATATGGAATAATAATAACGAGAGTCAAATTATGACAATGAAACCGTGTAGCCGAGATGGAAGCAGACCTGCCTGTGCTTGTGGACGCGGGTTCAATTCTTGCCTCCAGTAGGTTTTTTTTTAAATGTCTGGAGGCTTTTTTATTTACTACTTTCATTCTAAGGAGGCTTATTTTCCACTCCGTATCTATTTTTAGTTTGCTTTGGCCGTGTATTTGTCGCTTGTACTGTGAAGTAATATAATGGCACTAGTTCAGAAAGTGAGCTGCAACGCACTAGTATATTTTCAAACTAAAATCTCTAAAGGAGCAGAGCAGCCACATGATGGGGGGTTCCGGGGTTCCAAAACTGAGTATTTTGGTAAATTAGGATTATAAACCATTTGATGGATGGTTATTATGGCTTTATTGCCTTTAATGATTTTGTTCTTTATACTTTTACTTTTTCAGCTTTTAGGTTTTCGGTTTTATGCCTTTATATTATTCTAATTTTTACGTTTACTTCTAATTTGACAATATCATCTATTAAGATTTCTAAAAAATAGTTGTAAATTTGAGGTGTTTTTTATTTGACTTTGACAAAATTCTTATTCTTGTACTACGTAATATTTATTTATTTATTTATGTCTTTGACATTTATTTTGCAACAAATATCAATTTATACCTGAAAATTGATATTGTTAAATATACACGTAGTATTATTTTACTACATTTTGACTCTTTTTTACAATATACGTTATTTTATTAAAATTTGACCCCACCTGAAAGCTAATGCTAGATCTACCCCTGGCTCGTTCTTATTAGTGTAGTCATTTTACTTATTCACCAACTATTAAGAATTCTGACTATAAATAGTTCCCTTCGTCGCATTTGTACGTTACATTTTATTAATACCCTTTAATGTATTGTACTCTGTATATATGCATTTGAATATGTAATTTTATTATACTCTTATAGATAATTCTAAGGGGTAATTTGAGTATGCATCCCATTTTATTGTCCAAATTATACTTTGCATCCCGTTTTAAAAAAAAACTTTTATGTAAATAGTATTCACAGACATCTAAGTTTGGCTATGCTTGAAATATATGGAGTATATTGTGAGAAATAATACCAGGCTTAACCATAACGTTAGCCCTGGCAGATATATATAGGAAATAAGAGTAATAATTACAAAAGGAGTCCCAGACTAATGATAATTAAATAAATAACTAATCTACTCTATTACACCCCCTCAAGCTGTGCAGGGGAAACAATGCGCAGATTGTCACGAAGAAGAGTAAACCGTTGTGGGGACAAACACTTTGTAAAAATATCTGCCAGCTGAGCCTGTGTAGGAACATACTTGACACGAAGATCTCCATGGGCCACCCGCTCACGAACAAAATGATAGTCAATATTAATGTGCTTACTTCTGGCATGATGAATAGGATTAACAGAAAGATATGAGGCTGAAACATTGTCACAAAACAAGGTGGTAGGCATTCGAATAGGAAACCCAAGCTCAAACAAGGGGCCACCTCGGCCACGCTGCCCGCGGCCTCCTCGGCCGCGTTGTCCTCTGCCGCCATTTTGCTGTTGCTGCTGGCCGCCATTATGCTGCTGCTGCTGCCCGCCATGGTGCTGCTGCTGTCCGCCAAGGGGAAGTGGTCCTGCGGGCTGAACTTGGCCCGCAAAGGCCTGAGCTTGAGTGGAGTCTTCCATGGCACGCATATATTGAATGGTCTGCTCCTTCTCAATGAGGTGTGTGCGCAATTTCTCAAACGTAAAACTTTCAGGAAACAATTCTACCGAAGTAATAAGAGACTCATAGTCTCTTCCCAAACCAAGCAAAATAGTCTGAAAGAGTTCCTTGGTAGAGACCGGAGAATTAATGCAGGCCAAATTATCAGCAATATCTTTAATAGCCCTAAGATAGTGATCCATGGACTGAGTGGGACTCTTCCGAGAATGAGTTAGCTGCCGTTTCAGTTCCATGGACCGAGCAAGACTAGCAGACATAAAATGTGACTCCAAACGCCCCCAAATAGCTGAAGCATTTTTTAATTCTCGAACCTCAATTAACACATCACGTGACAGAGTAGCAAACAACCAAGACCGGACAGTTTGATCAAGTTTTAACCAATTACAATAATCTGGATTAAGAACCTCACGCTGACATGCATCAAAAAGATAGGGGGAAGGAGCAGGAATCGAGCCATTTAAAATACCCAAAAAACCATTGGAGACCAGAAACGACTCAAATTGAGTACGCCAAGACAAGTAATCTTCCACGGCATTCAATTTAGTGGTAACTATATTTGTAATATTAAGTGCAGAAAATCCAATGGTTTTAACTAAATCAGACAACGAGGAACCTGGACCGGGCAGAATATTCGAACGAGGAGCGATAGAGCCTGGGTTAAGGAGTGGCGCAATCCCTGGATCACCTGCGAGTGTCGGACCAACAAAAACAGAGGATTCTGCGACGTGGGGAATGCTGCGACTGCCAGAGAGGAGAACTGAGGACGTCGGACGCACCGTAGGTGGAGTAGGGGTCCAGGTAAATATTGGCGGAGTCCAGACCGCATCTTGAGAGGAGAAAAACGAAGACTGCATCTGTGGGTTTTCGACCGAGGAAAGAATCGTGGACGGAAGATGAAGCTGCGCGGCAGAGAGACCAATATCTACTGTAATCCCCGGCGCTGCAGAGAAATTCGACGCCTGCACCTGCTGAGTAGCGACCGAAGAGATCGGCGGCATAGAGGACTCAAGGGCGGCGGAGCTTTGCTCGCTGGACATGTCGGCCGAAAAAAAAATTAGGGATTTAGATGGCTGTGGCTCATGATACCATGTGAGAAATAATACCAGGCTTAACCATAACGTTAGCCCTGGCAGATATATATATAGGAAATAAGAGTAATAATTACAAAAGGAGTCCCAGACTAATGATAATTAAATAAATAACTAATCTACTCTATTATATACTAGTATCGTTACCCGTGCCGTGCACGGGATAAAATGATTTTTTTAATTTTAATATGTAGTCTTGAATATGGATTATACGCATATTGATTATTGACATATGTATATGGGTTAATATATAATAACTAATGGAAAATCGTGTATCTAGTCGATTATAGCATCAGTTGATAAAAATATTTTTATTTAATGAACGACTTATTTTTGAACTTATTATCTAAACATATCATCGGTAGTGTATGTCCATCAAAATGATAATGTAGGTATTGAATCCTTAGTATACCGTGAATGAGAAAAAATATACTCCGTACTACGTAGTATTATGAAACAACATATGAATAAAATTTAAAATTTTATTAATAAAAAATTGTAGATTTTAGATATTATTCATATTTTTTAAAATTTTATTAATAAAAAATATTTTTAATTTTTTTCTTAATAAATAAGCATAATAATCCAATTCAGCCACTTCAACGAAAACTTTATAAATTTCAGCAGAATCAGTCGATTCAACCAATTTTGTGTTACCAAATAAACTCTAAACTAATGAATATATTTGCATGTAAATAAAGTCACTAAAATAAAAATATTCTGGATTTCTTACGGAAAAGTTTGAGTGCTATTTATAAATATTAGTTGGCTTTTAGAACAAATTACATTAATTGTGACTTTTTTTATCATCAAATTCAACACTTATATTAAATCATTAGAAAGCGGATCGTTACAACAAACTCAAAAAGACCTACCCTGACAAAAACTATCTCTAACCAACTATCACAATCAACGCTACGGCTAGACTCTGAGACAATCACCCCTAAAAGAGCAATATAAATCGCTAACCACCAAGCGGGTGTGACACAACAATCACTGACCATATAGATCCTTCTAATGACATAATATCCAGCAGAATAGATCGGTGGTTAGATTGTCAATACCCCGATTGCCATGTTCGTATACTGGTCCAAGAATGTTTTCCATACAAAACTTGCTTTCCTCGGACAACTAAATCGAATTCGCCCGCTAGAAAACTCTCCTCCATTCGCTGTTTCGTCTCCTTGAATATCCCGTCAAACACACCACGAAGCTGCTGGTCCAAACCAGAAACTCTTCACCTGCCTCTCTCATCGCCCCACCTCCTGAATCCTTAATGCCAAAAATAAAATAGATGGCCGGAAATTCAGCCCCGCTCCTCGGTGTAGTATATAGCGGACTATCGAAGCTAGCAGTTGGCCTTAGCTTGCGGCAATCCTAGAGAGAGAGAGAGAGAGAGAGAGAGAGAGAGATTACGCTCCGTAAAAGTAGGTACCCAGTTTAATTGTGACTTTACATTATACGTACTATTATATTATTTATATATGGAGTTCTAAATTTTAGGAAGCACTCCATTAAAAACATTTGGAGTATAAAGTTTAATGGATAAAAAGAGGAATACAATTATGGAATGTTTTGTCATGTGTCATCTTCTAAGGGCATCCCCATTGTTTAGATTATTTAGAGCTTAATTTGATGATGTGTAAGATTATTTTAAAGATTATCATTGTGAGTGAGAGATTATTTAGAGAGATTATTGAAAAAGATAATCTGGTATCAGGATTTGAATCCCGGATTATTTTAGGTTGTAGTGAAATTTCATTTAATGCATGGTCTAGAAAAACTAATTATCTTAATATCATGGTTGATGGAGAGTTTTAAGATTTGAGATTATTTAAAATTTATTTAATAAATATGATGTGTCAATGATGTGTCATAGAAAAACCATTTATTTTTAGATCATGAGTGGAGATGCTCTAAGCAAACATTGATTGTAATATTCTAATTTTTTTTTTTCAATTTTGTACTCCGTATATTTAGTAATTAATTATGGTGCGTTAGAATAGGATCTAAGTTAGATTAGAATCGTTATTGTTACGTTAAGTTATTAAGATTAAGCAAATATGTTGGATTTCTATGCAAGTAGCAACCACCTCAGAACATCTCCATTCATGATCTTTAATAATCAATTTTTCTATAATTCTTATCATTTAAATATTGTTATGTAATTAATTTTAAAATAATCTCAAAATTCGATTATATCTCTCAATCATCATCTTCAAATAATCTGTTTTTTCTCTGTCCTGCATTAACCTCTATTACATATACTTTTTAAATAATCTTAAAATAATCTAGATTCATATTTTGATCCTAGATTACTGTAGTAAATAATCCCATTAAAAAATATATCACTCAATGATAATTTTCTAAAAAATTTGACATGTCACTAATGACAAAATACTTGAAAGATGAAATATATCTGTATAGGACGTGAATGATGGAAATATATCAATTTAGGACCCATTATAAAAAACTATCAATATAGGATCTAAATTGTTATGATTTGTTTTTTATTTTAAAAAATTGAAATAGTATTTAGTTTTATTAAATTAGTGAACTTAATTATGTGGAAAAAAGTCATCACATATTAGCAATGGAATTAATAAAAAATAAATGAATCAAAACCTATGAAATGTTAGGTCATAGATTGATAGTTTTGTATCATTCGGGACCTGTACTGATACACTTCATCTTTTAGGTCCCAAATTGATAATTTTCTATCAAGTCCCGGTTTGATAAAAATAGTGGAATTGTTTTTTAGAACGTGCACTATGAGTGCAATTGTGGAGTTTATATGTTTGAGTGCAATTGGGATGTTTTGGAGAAATCTTCCCAATTGCAATTGAGCCCGTTTGGTGTCTCTGTTTTTTGGCTTATCAGGCTTATCAGTCAACTTTTTCACAAAATACATAACTTTTGATTTCGTGCATTAAATTGTGTGATAAAAAGAAAATTTAATATTGAAGTTATTTTTATGTCTATATTGGCTTAAGTTACTGTAGATATTCATTTTAGATATTATTCTTTTTTTCCATTAATAAAAAATATTTTAACTTTTTCTATATAATTAAGCAAAATCAGTCAATTCAGCCACTTCAGTCAAAACTTCATAAATTTCAGTATAATCAGCCGATTCAACCAATTTCGTGTTACCAAACATACTCTAAATGAATAAATATAATTGCACGTTATTTAAAGTCACCGAAATAAAAAATATTCTTAATTTCTTATGAAAAGGTTTGATCTGAGTGCTATTTATATTAAAAGTAAAATGTTAGTTTATAGATTTGTTTATAATGTTTTTAAGAGACATTCAAGGAATCTCGTTAATGGTATTTGTGATGTCAGGAGGATTATTTTATGTTCTTGGATATTTAGAAATCAGAAAGCCGTCATTTTTAGAAATTGTGATTTTGTTTTAGAAATTCCAACGTTGTTGAATTCTAATTCTAATCCAACACCGTGCTTAGTTCGAGTTTTTAGCAATTCAGATTTTAATCCACGAAAGAGTTTTAGGGAGGTTTTAATGACTTCTAAATTTTAGAAGATATTTTTAAATTAGAAAGGGAATCTAGAATATTATTATTAAAGAATTGCTTAGAATATGACATGTGGCAAAACTTTCTATAATTGTATCTCTCAAATGTATTATCTATAGATAGATGTGTTCAAACACATGAGAAGTAGCATATAATTAATATGAAGCAAAGTGTGGGAATCGGACGACCTGAAGTTTGTGAAAAGAAACTTGCGAAGAAAAAATGTAAAGATACAAGCGGAGAGATGCAACAAAACTATTCAGTAAAAAGATTCAAACAAGATGATGAGATGAAGAAGTTTAAAATGAAATGGGATGCGCTTGGAAAGAATTATGTTAAGTCACTAATCATGAAGACAGATTTTGAAATCATGAATGTAGACTTAACAAGGTTTTCGCCAAGGAAGCAGATTTGGTTAAGGCAACAACAAAGTTCTATCTTGAAATACATTCAAGATTAACTTATTTTGGACTGAAGCTCCCAAAGCTTCTATCTATGGCCCATGAGGCCAGATTTGGATAAGAACTTAGTTTTATTATGTAATTATTATGAAATGTTTAAGTTTAAGCTTTCAACTCTTCCTTGTGTTTTTTAACGTTATACAATTTTTTTCTGTTTTAGTTTAACTTTATTTAGTACAAAGTAAAGTTATCAGAATATTAAGGAGTATATACTAACTATTCCACTATTCTTAATTGAGAAAAGGGGCAAATAAGCCCACTTACTAACCAAAAAAGGTCAAATAAGCACTTATTTAGGAGGCTCTGTCCGGCCGTCGCAATTTGGGGTGGTTCCTGGTTGAATTTTTTTATGAAAGTTTTTGAGCATCTTATTCATTAAGTCTAGTTTACTCATACCAAATTTCAGAAAAAACTTCAATCGGTAAGGCATTCAAATGAATTCTTGAAGATAACTGCGCTTTTAACTGCACAATTATCTTCAAGAATTCATTTGAATGCCTTTCTGATTGAATTGTTAGCTGAAATTTGGTATGAGTAAACTAGACTTAATGAATAAGATGCTCAAAAAATTTCATAAAAAAAGTACACCGGGAACTGATCCAAATGGCGACGGCCGGACAGAATCTCTTATATAAGGGCTTATTTGACCTTTTTTGTTAGCCGGACAAAAAAGGTAATTGCCCCTCTTCCCTTCTTAATTTAACAGATCACGATTACCATAAGCAGCCAATAAGACTCATGGAGATTATGTTTTTAATACACCTAGATAAGAAAATGGAAATTAAACTTTATTGTCTATATATATGATTGTATGAGATCCACCTCCTCAATCAAACTTGCTGCATCATGAGCTGTTTTAATACTCCAATTTCTTTTTCCCCTGTAATTCCAAACTCTTCCACAACTGGTAACTATCTAAAGCTCTAAACCTGAAAAAGAGAAGGAAATGGAAAACATTATCAGAAATAGGAACACAAACTGGAGAACACCAAGAAGAGAAAAGAAAAGAAAGGTCCAATTTGGAAGAAAAATTCTTAATCTAACATGACCGCCTAGGATTTTATCATGTGGCCAAAAAGTTCAATCTCAACTTCTACTAATATTAAGTACTGCCAGCAAAACAACCTCCCATAATATCAAACAGACACCATCTTCACAAAAAGAAAAGAAAACTACAGAATTGCGTTGTAACACTATCTTCTTCTTTTGGAAAATACATATCATGACAGTTTTGCGTTGTAATACATACTATAAAAAAATACACAATAAATATACTAGAGTTAGCAAAGAGACTTTTTTATATCCATCCAAATAGAATGTTTCTAAAATTTCAATTGACTTACCGCTCCAAAACACACTTTTAGCAGTGCCCATTAAGCTCTGCATTAACTTGTTTGGGGGTTTCAGGAGTAAGAGGTAAAGTCATCTTAATAGTTTTAAACATTAACAACCTTCTCAAGTATAGCTTGTTAAATAAACAGATCCGAAACAAAAAGGTTATAATCATAAAAGATAAATCTCACTGCCGCAAAAGGTGTACTTTAATCCTACAAAGCTAATTAACAGCGACCAGTATCCAAGCCGAAACATTCCCATTAGGTTATTAAAATACACAAAACATAGGAAAACTGACATAGAGCGCATAAAAAAAGAATATGCAGTAGAAATTTCGGAAAACAAACCATAAATATTGAAATAACATGAAATGATACCCTTTTCAGCTTTTAAATATGGAGGGAGGGTATTTACACTGGCCTGTTAACCACCAACTGATCTCATGAACTTAGCCTTGTGCATTGTGACCACAACATAAGTCCAATTAGCAAAGTTTTCAAGGACTTTGAAAAATGCAAAGCTACAGGACCTGTTGAATAGCATTGTCCCAAGAACTCCCAAGAATCCAATCGCATATCCGACACCTATGCTTGCATAAAAATCACCGGCAATAAGTTTATCCTCTTCTTCTCTATTAGAAGCTCCTTATTCACTGAATTGATGAGGAGGACTAGTTGATTCTTCTCCTGAACAGCTGTTAGGGAGTGGATCTCCACATAGCGCAGGATTCCCCATGTATGCACTTGCATCAAAGCTCTGAAGTTGTGTGCCTTTGGGAATTTTTCCAGATAACTTATTGTTGGAAAGATTAAGAACGCCTATGTCATCAATCAGGGCAATGCTTGGAGGAATGCTACCAGACAAATGGTTACTAGACAAATCAAGAAAATTCAATTGTGCCAAGTTACCAATCCTGAGAGGAATGTGTCCCTGTAGATTGTTTCGTGATAAGTTCAAAGAAACTAACGCAACAAGTGATGTGATTTCAGTTGGAATTTCACCACTCAACATGTTGGATGATAGATCAATGCTCTTTACGTCTCTTAATCTACTTCCAAATTCAAAGACAGCACCTTTCCATGTAACCTCTATTTTGTCATCTTCTGTAGCCTCTGCATGCCATGTTTGATTTAAAATAGTGAGAGTGAATGAGAACTCATAAGAAATGGTGGGAATGCCTAATGTTATGTTCATCATTTGAGTGAGATTAGAAATACATTTGGGAATAGTCCCTGAGAGGTGGTTCAGGGACAAGTCTAACAGCTGAAGAGACTGGAGACGGCAGAGAGTGGTGGGTACATTTGCATTGAAGTTGTTGGATGTTAGCACAAGTATCGAAAGTTGTGTTATACTTTCACCCACCCAATCTGGTATTGGTCCAAACAAGCTGTTGTGTCCCAGGTGTAAAGATATCAAGCGAGAACAGTTTTTGATGGATGAAGGTAGAGCGCCTGTAAATTTGTTATGGTCAAGATGCAATGCCTCCAGGGAAGCCAATGAACCAATGGAAGTTGGAAGAGTCCCTGAGAGATTGTGATTTTTTCCCAGATTCAGAACTTGCAGATGAGACAATCTTGACCAGCAATTTGGAAGTGTTCCTGAAAGTTGATTGAATGAGATATTCAAAAGCCGTAAAGGAGAAAATACGTTGACATCACATAGGGAGTTGAGGTCAGTGAAGTTATTATGAGAAAGGTACAGTGCTCTCACATTGAAGAAAAAGGGTGGAATGGCACCTTCTAATTGATTGTAACGCATATCTAGCATACCACTGCGGATTGAAGCTTGAGCATCAATACCAATTATTCCCTTGATTCCATTGTTAGAAACATTAATTTCCACAAAGCTAGTGATTGTATTCCAAAACCAGGTGGGGATTGAATCCGAGATGGCGTTATTGGAAATGTCAAGCACCTTACAGTTGGTTTGAGTTCGAAGCCAACTCGGAAACTCGGGTCCCAACTTACAAGAACTAAGGTGTATCTTTTTCAAGTTGAAAGGAGGGAGCCAAGTGGAGGAGACGTTAAAAGTGAAAGTGTTTGAAGATAGGTCCAGGTAAGTTAGGTAAGAGAGATTAGCAAAGTGATGTTCAGAAATGACCCCATCTATGAGGGTATTTGAAAAATATAATGACTCCAAACAGGAGAAAATCGTAAGATTGGGAAAGAGCCCTGTGAATGGGTTGTCGTATAAGTATAACTCCTGCAAAGGGTGATTTGGGCATATTGTGGTTATGTATAGGCTTTCATTAAGATGGTTGGATTCCAAGGACAGGCTTTGCAAAGTGCATATGTTCCACAAGGATTTGGGGATTTCTCCTTCAAGTCTATTCCCCCCAAGCTCAAGGAATTCAAGGACAGACATATTTCCTAGAGCTTCAGGAATGTGACCTTCCAACTGATTCTCTCACAGGTCGAGATATGTGAGGGCACACAGGTTGTTTCCAAAGTTTTCAGGAATGTTGCCTTGTAACTTATTAAAGCTGAGATCAAGCCATGTAAGGGCAGGCATGCCGTTTCCAAAACTTTCAGGGATGGTGCCTTGTAAATAATTCGAACAGAGATAAAGGTTGGCAAGGGTAGGCATGCCTTTTCCAAGACTTTCAGGAATGAAACCTTCTAAACCATTTCCGCAGAGATCAAGGTCCGTAAGGGCGGGCATGATGTTTACTAAATTCTCAGGAATGGTGCCAACGATTCCGGTGCCACGAAGACCCAGATGCTGAAGGGAAATCATACTGTTACTACCGTTATAGTTGTTCCCAATCATTGATGAGATGCTCTGGTTTTCCAGCAAGTAATTGTTAAGGCTAAGATCCAAATACTTCAAATAGCGGAGCTCAAAGAATGGAAGGCTGTTGCTATACTTCCCACCATCTTTCGCGGACAGAGACATATTAAAAAGATGGATCCGGATGACATGGCCAGTAGCTTTATCACACCAAACCCCCTCCCAGCTGCGGCAGCAATCTTCATCACTGTGGTTGCCCCAGGAACGTAGCTTGTCCTTCTCGTCAAGAACGTTGTGCTTGAACTTGAGGAGCACTTCCCTCTCCGCATCAACGCATTTACTGGCAGCAGCAGCCCCACTCATCGCCACCACAAGCAAGCAGCAACTCACCCCCACTGCCATTGCCGCGGCTTCAGAGGACGACCTTAACAATAATAATCTACCGCCCATTCTCAACTAAGCTTTAATTCTTCCAGTTTCTGTAATTTGCTAGCTGATTATTTAAGCTACTTATTTAAACTAGCTAGCTTCCTCCCATTTTCTCTTGTGTTCGTGTGTGAAGAGTAGTCGCAAGTATGATGACTTTTTGGTCATCAAATCACATGTGTGGAATGTGTATGTGGGTCTCATCTTTATACGCGTGCATATGGAGTATTTCCCATTACTATACCAAGAGAGTGTTTGCAACAGCTTCTACTTTAAAAAAAGCACTTTTGGAGTGATTTGGAAAAAGTGATTATTTGTAAAAGTTGATAGTGTTTGAGAAAAAAGTGATTTTGAAAAGTAAAAGTTGGTAGTGTTTGGTAAAATAAGTGCTTTTGGTGTATAAAAAGTGGAAAAGCACTTTTGACACGAAAGCCGAGAAAAATAAAAAATTGGTAGTGTTTGGTAAATAAGTGCTTTTTTAAGCCAAAAGCTGAGAAGTGCTTTTTTTAAAGTGGTTGCAAACCAGCCTCAAGTCAATCTGGTCGTTTCACTATGAGCAAATTGTTTATGAAGAGTATGAATGAATAAAAGAGTATGTATAGTATGTTCCTCTGTATACATTCATGTATGCACGTATATGTATATTTATTTATGTTGTCCGGCCCATACTGCCAAGCTCAGTGGCAGAGCCAGAATTTAGGGCTAGTGGTGTCAATTGAGAAAATAATTATTATATCAAAATGTGTAAATATTATAAAGCGAAATAACAAAAATTATCATTTATAAAATTGAAATGGTAATTCAAAATTGTCAACGTCGCATTTTCATATTTTAAAAACGTTATACTTTTTTTTCTATCAAGTGTTGATCAATTGATTCAAACTTTAAAGAAATAAGACTATAACACTTTATCTAATATAGTAATATTCCTAATAAAGTATCGCCTGTCTCACTTTACATGTCTTAATTTTTTTTTTGGATTATCCCAAAATAGGTGTCTTGTTTCTTCTTTTAAAAAGGCATATGTGGTGTACAACATTTCAATTTATTATACTCAAACTTGATTAACATTATTAGTTTTTCAATCACTCTATTATAATTGTGTCAAACCAAAACAAGACACATAAATTGGGATGGAGGTAGTAGTAATAACTAATTAGTAAAAATGTACACTTTTCAATTATTTTTAAGTTAGTGTTCTAACTTTTCAAATATATCCACTGACCTCCATCTTTTAAATGGTTGTGCCAACTTTTAATTTTTGAAAGATTATATATTTATACTCCATATATAGTTTTTTTTAGAATTTTTTTAAATAGGACTAAAACATAGATAAAATTTATAAATAGGAATATCAATGTTTTCTTCCCAAAATAGGACTCATTCTCTCCTATTTTGAAAGTTTTAATCATGTTATTCTTTTGATAGAACTAAATAAGCCCTATTTGGAGAATAAAACACAATAATTCCTATTTGTTTTAATTTGTTTATGTTTTAGTCTTATATTAAACAATTTCTATTTTTTTAGTGGTGTCAATTTAATTTTTTGAAAATTTATATATATCTATATATGAAGAAAAAAAGTTGAGTAGTGTCAATTGACACCACAACTCATAGTGTGGCTCCGCCACTGGCCAAACTGATGCTATGAAGTCCGGGTCTCGGAAAGATTTGTAGTATTGACTTTTCTTGGTCAATGATGTAGACGTTGTATATAATTTATAAATTTTATACTATTATGTTATGAAAATAATTTGAATAAGAAACATTTTTATATAATTCTTATATTCAAAATAATATCGTATTAAAAAATATCGTTGATCAAAATTGATTATCATTGACCAAGAAAAGACAATTTAGCAAACCTATTTGGGACGAGAGTACATAAAAGACACTCTTGCTTCAATTATTGTATTCTACCTTTACCATGGGGGCAAAGCAGTCATGGACTCGGGCTGGGCCTGGGCCCGGGCGGGCCGTCGGTTCTGAATAGGTGGGCCCGGGACCGGCCCGGGTAGCCACCGGGTCTGGTCTGGGCCTCGTCAATTTTTTTTTGCTTTTCCTAATTACCCCCCCCCCCCCCACCCCCAACCCCAAACCACCCCAAATGGCCCAAAATACCCAGCCCAACCCGAAAAGTTAAAAAAATTGAAAAAAAAAAGCCCAGAACCGGGGCCGAACCGGCCGAGCCGGTTCGGCTTTTGGGTGAACCGAGCCCTCACCGGGAACCCCCCGGGCCGGGCCAGTTCAGCACAGTGCCGGTCCCGGGCCGGTTCCGGCTCGGGCCACCCGGCCCGAGTCCAGGACTAGGGCAAAATCGGTAAAATTGTTGATCATAAATCACAATAGAGTAAAGGGTCAGTTTGGTCCTCGAAGTTGCATAAAAGGGGTCAAATAAGTCCTTATTTAGGAGGTTCTATCCGGCCGTTGCCATTTGGGACGGTTCCCGATGGAATTTTTTGATGAAATTTTTTGAATATCTTATTCATTAAGTCTAGTTCACTGATACCAAATTTCAGATAAAAATTCAATCGGGAAGACATTCAAATGAATTCTTGAAGATAACTGTGCAGTTAAAAGCGCAGTTATCTTCAAGAATTCATTTGAATGCCTTCCCGATTGAATTTTTAGCTAAAATTTGGTATGAGTAAACTAGACTTAATGAATAAGATTCTAAAAAGATTTTATCAAAAAATTCCACCGGGAACCGCCTCAAATGGCACGTCCGGACAGAATCTTCTATATAAGGACTTATTTAACCCCTTTTATGCAACTTCGAGGACCAAACTGCCTCTTTACTCAATCACAATATATACTTACGTTTTTTGTTTTGGAGTTGGCTAGCCGACAAAATTCGCCAACTCATTTCCAAATGAGCAAATTGTTTGTGAAGAGTTGTAGCACTAAATGTATGACCACTTTTTGGTCATCAAATCACATGTTGTGCAGGTCTTATAACTTTTTAAGTACATCCTTAGTTTTAATAAAGTTGCACTTATTTCATACGGAGTACTTCATATGTTCTTACTTATTTTGTATGAATGTACGTTTATTTTGTTACTCCGTAATGGATTAATTTATCTTGACCAATATGCCAGTTCAGCATTAGTTTTGCTAGTTGCAACGGTTTACGTTCGATAGACGATACGGTATTTCATTGCATGAAACTTTTCAAGACTGATTTACATAACATAATGATAGGTGAGTAGCATAGTAAAATTATTGCAAATATTGAAATTGGACAAAGAATGCAATATTTTTCACTTCTTGCTAGTATCTATATTCGAATGTGAAAACATTTTGCAATGTTTTAAACTTTTAATTGTTACTATTATGATGATTGTTAGTTTAGTTTATTTGAATACAGATACTTGGAAGAAACGAAAGAAAAATAAAGAGTAAATGGTGAGTTTGGTCCTCGAAGTTGCATAAAAGGAGTCAAATTAGTCCTTATATAGAAGATTTTGTCCAGACGTGCCATTTGAGGCGGTTCCCGGTGGAAGTTTTTGATAATTTTTTTTGAACATCTTATTCATTAAGTCTAGTTTACTCCTACCAAATTCCAGCTAAAAATTCAATCGGGAAGGCATTCAAATGAATTCTTGAAGATAAGTGCACTTTTAACTGCATAGTTATCTTCAAGAATTCATTTGAATGCCTTCTCGATTGAATTTTTATCTCAAATTTGGTATGAGTGAACTAGACTTAATGAATAAGATGCTCAAAAAATTTCATCAAAAAATTCCACCGGGAACCGTCCCAAATGGCGACGGCCAGATAGAACCTCCTATATAAAGACTTATTTGACCCTTTTATGCAACTTCGAGGACCAAACTGACCCTTCACTCGAAAAATAAATAATTGCATTCTAAGCTAAATTTCAATGTTTGCACTTATAGCACATTCATTTGTATATTCCATAAAAGCTTCCCCGCTTCCGGCTCCCTAAAAATTGGTTTAGTACTTAGGTCATAGAGTTATGCCGCACTTCTTGTTTGTAAGCCTAACAGCTTTACAAATTAGTACAAAGTTATCAGAATATTTAAGGAGTATATACTAATTCCATTATTCATAGTTTAACAGAACAGATCACAAATATCTTAAGCAGCCAAATGACTCAAGGAGATGATGTCTATAACACCAAGTTAAGATAATGGAAATGAAAATTAAACTTTACGCATGAGATCCTTCTCTTCAAGGAACTGCAAAACGTAATTAGAAATAGGAATACCGACTGGAGAACACCATTACACCAAGAAAAGAAACAAGGATGGTACGTTCAAGAAGAAACTTTCTTAATCTAAAAATACCACCTAGGATTCCATCATGTGGCCCAAAAACTTCAATCTTTTAACTTCTACTATTAAGGGTTGGTTTGCAACTCCTTTTAAAAAAGCACTTCTCAGCTTTTGGCTTTAAAAAAGCACTTATTTTCCCAAACACTACAACTTTTATTTTTCTCGGCTTCCGCGTCAAAAGTGCTTTTACTTTTTCTATTACACAAAAACACTTATTTTACCAAACACTACCCACTTTTACTTTTCAAAATCACTTTTTTCTCAAACACTATCAACTTTTATTTAATCACTTCTCCCCATTTCATTAAAAAAAGCACTTTTTTAAAAGTAGAAGCTGTTGCAAACAGACCCTAAGTACCAACAGCAAAGCAAAACAAACTCCCATCTTACTCTATATAAAAAAGAGGTGGAACCCAAGCAAGTTTTCCCGCCCAAACATTTTGTCAAAATATGGGTCGGGTCAGGTTTAAATCCGTAGTATAAACTTTGCACGCACAATAAATGCATAACTAAAGCTCTGGTCAACCGACTAGATTGAATTGTACTGTATTAACATAAAAGCAGATTGCGTGTCACACTAAATTAACTCTGACTTTCTCGATTGATACAAAAAAATTTATTATATTTTGAAAGCAAAGATGTTGTTAGAATTAATTTGTACTGTGTTGTCCTATCCAATTGAATGTTGCGTGCTTCAAGTTACTGCATGTTATGAACCATTGGGTATTTGGTTCATGGTGGTTATTTAGCCAATTAGCCATACATTAGCAAAGCACCGTAGCACTAGAAATATGTCACAGTTCTTTAGTTCAACACCACA